TCCTTCTTTCCTTTGAAGCTGCCGCTCACCTCCATGCCTCTTTTCTTTTTGCATTTTATTTTGACTCTCGTTTGTCTACTTTAGCTCATCCATCCACTGAATTTGCCTCATTATTCTTCGTCGAATACTTCTCTAAATTTTAGTGAGTAACAATTTTTTTATTAATAATATATATCTATTTTTTAAGAAGGCTGCCAAACCGGCTGCCCAAAGCATCACCGAACAGTTCTTTTCTTTGGTCGTTGTTCGTCAACGAGGTGCTTACATTGCCAAGCTTGCCGCCTAACGTGCTGCTCAAAGTACTGCCCAATATTGCCTCTTCTTTGCGAGCGTCTTCCTTTGGTAAGGCACTTCTTTACATATATATATATATATTGGCTGCACAACCAACTTCTCAACATAGTGGACATACATCTTTTATACATAGCCACACTAAAATGTCCTTGTTTTTTTTTTTTAAAAAAAAACAAGACTCATTTCTGCACCATTCCCTTTCGGCCGCCCAATATAATGCGCAATATTATTCCTTAGTGCCACACCTTGCCGCTTCTTTTTTAGGTGTGTGGTCCATACATATATATAAAAAGGTATCACTTTATCCTTTTGCACACATTTCGTTTGAAAGTTTACCTTTTTCCTTTCAACGATAGTACGGTTTATTGAGCGTCTTTGAGGTTTTAGGTCACTTATTGCGCAGTTTTGACGTTTCTGAAGGATTCTTGGGCGGGCTATTAGTATTTGCTGGGATCAGGGCACTTGTTTTGATGGTTTTAGGCCGTTTTAGGAGCATAGTGTGGTTTGTTGTGCAACCAGAGATGTTGTCCACCTTTTGGGCATCTAGTTAGGAATTCTTGAAGTCGCTTGCTTGAGCATCCTTGAGGTTCTGTTTAGTTTCTTTTCCTTGGAGAAGCTTGTTTGGAGGCTGTTTTGGTAAGGTACTTTTGAGGTCATTCTTTAATCTTTTACTTTTTTTTTCACAATATGAGGGATTTTGTTCGGTAGCCATTAGTCCCTTAGAACTTTGCTATGAATAATTTACATTTGACTCTTTAGAATGTTTTGACCCAGCTAGGCTTCCTTGTCACATACCTCATTTAGATGTAGGGACCTCGGGGTGGGGGCGATACTAAGGAATGTTCATTTGCTGAGGCGGTGGCTGAAAGATCGGCTACTGGGATAGCGAGTGGTGAGTTTTCAGGTAGGGTCTTCGAAGAATCTGATAGTGTATATTTAAGCTGTGCTAGTATTACTGCAATATTGGAGCGGGTGAATATAACCAAAGTTAGATTAGACAGGGCTGATGTACATTGTTCGAGCATAGATGCCATTGTTGTAGCTCTTGAGGTATCACAACTTTCGATGTCGTCTCCACGCCGACATTTAACTGTTGGACTTACCAGCATTCGTTCTACCGTTACTCAGAGTATTCTGGATTTTTATCGTTTTACTTATGAGATTCCAAAGAACATTATTATTCACGTGTCAGGTCCTGATGAGCGAATGTGTAGCCCGCCACCGAGTGAGACAACTTTATATACGGATGTTTTCTCATGGTCTGCATCTTCCTCTACATCCATGCGTGCAACAATTTCTGAGCAATGTCTGCCTATCTCCTGCCCAACTGGCTCCTAACGGGTGTGACCAATTGTGCGCATGTTTTATAGCCTAGCAATATAGTGGCGGGGGAGGCTTATGCTATTCTTCACACCTTTACTCTGAAGGTTGTTCCCCCTCAAGGAAACTTGTACTTTTATTTAGAGAATAGGAAAGATAAGAGACCTTAGTGGCACCAGAGATTGCTGGGAAGCGGAAGGCCCTTAATAAGGCTTCTTGTCGCCGTGACAGGCAGAATGTTACTATGTCTAGTTCTAATAAAAACTGGAAATGTGAGTTGTTTTTCATTAGTGGGGATTGGCTTTCCACTAGGGGAAGCATTTTTAAATCCCATCTAAATTCAGGGCTCCAGGTAAGTATTTAATGTTTTATTACCTCGTTTCTTTTAGCCTAGCTGGCATTTTTTTATTGCTAACTTGTCTCTCTTTTTGCTTCAGTGTTCCGAGTAAAATTTCCTGGATTTTCTCCAACATTGAGCAATTCACCGACGTGCATGTGCTTTTGAGCTTTGGCAATAAAATCGTCAAAAGGTAGTTTGAGTTTTCTTACCTAAGGACCAAAGAAACCTTTCATCTCGTAGTCCGGCCATGACAGCGGTTAAGGCGGTTCCATCAGCGCCTTCCTCCACCTTGAAGGCTTCATTATTAAAGCGAACAATATACTTGCGAAAACTTTCGTTCGCTTTTTGCCGGAGCGTTAATAGATAGGTAGCTAGTCTTTTCTGCTCCTGTCCTCCTATAAACTGCGTCAGGAAGGCACGTGTTAGTTCTTGGAAAGAGGTTATCGACCGTTTCTTAAGTTGCCTGTACCACGTACTAGCTGGCCCGATAAGGGTCAGGGAGAATGCCCTGTATTTTATCTCGTCACGAGCCCCTTGAAGATCCATCCATTCGCTAAAGGTGTCAACGTGATCCAATGGATCCTTAGTGGCATCATATTGTTTCATGGTTGGCCATTTTAACATGGGCGGTATGGCTACCGCCATGTCATTATCTGCGAATGTGGTGCCCGATCCATCATGAGGTTCTCCTTCATTCGACACCTTGTCGGGGTAGTTGCTATGATTGCCTAGTGCAGCATCTAGACGTTCCTTTTTAGGGATCTAACGGTGATGGTTGAGGAGGTCACGCAGATCCGACCGTTTTCGATTTTCATGTTCTTTTCTCCGATTTTCCAGGAATTCTCGCAGGTCGTTGGTGTCCATTCCCTCTAAGTTTCTTTGCAACCAGGTTTGGTGATATCGTCGCTTATTCGAAACTCGAGCTTTAGGGGAATTGACACTACTGGGAAGATTCCTGGGTCAGTTGTTTCCACCCAAAGTTAGTTTCTCATGAGGATTTGGAAGCGAGCTTGTTCGTGATTAATCTTCCATTTCTAGGGGAGCCGTTCCTTTAACCAGATCTCGAATAGGCGGTTCCTGAGAGGGGAAACTGGCGCAAGTTCCTTGGTGCCCTTTCTATTTTAACAGGGCTAAAACTTGGGTCATATCTCCTTTCAGTCCCTACACATCTTGGTTAATTTGGGTGTACCTACTTCGACGTCGCCGAGGCACTTCGATGTCGTCTACGAAGTGGGTAGTGACCGTGATGTTTTCCTGTGCCTTTATAGCACTCTGAGTCGGACGTTAGAGAGTCGGCTGAGGGGTCACATGTCTCGGGGTTGGGTTAAGGGGTTGCATCTGTCCGTAGTTCATGGTTTCCCCTGGGACAGCTTGCTATCGTTCAAGTTCATGGTGTAGTAATTCAAGTTTAGGTGTTTTTTGACAATTAATCCCCACAGATGGCGCCAACTATTGATGCAATTTTTGGGGAACCTAGATCAAGTCGAGCAAATCGATCTACCCGAGAAATCGACCGTCAGCTAATGGGATCTAAAATCTGCAGCAAGAGAGAATCTAAGAGAATAAACACCGGTGTGGTGTCAGCTGACCACACTCCGATGCTTAAGTCAGTTGATGAGCTTAAGAGGAGAATATAAGAAATGAGCAAATCTCG